TCCTAAAGCAACACATCTGGACAGCCAGGGCTGCAGTCAGCCCACAGGCCAAGCCTTTTCTGCAAGTTACCCTGGACACGCAGTGACCACAGGCATGCAATTTGGCTCAGAAGGGCGTTGTAGCAATGGTATGGTGGGGGACCCCTGCGCTTCCCAAACCCTCAAAACACCCACCAGCACCGTCTTCCACTACACCTGTCTTTTGACTTTCAGGGTTTCTGAGAATAACATGGTATTCTGATTTCAAGTCTAACAGGCCTGCAACATCTTAACAGTTTGGTAAGCTTCCCAAATGTGAGGTTGGACAAAGGATGCACCTTTCAACCTATCAATTTCCCTGGGGGGGGGGGGTGGTGGGATGTGCAGGGAAGAAGCAGAAAATAGCACTTGCTCCCACAGCCACCCAGAGTTTATATGAAACCTCAAGGTGTTGTTTCAAGCATGGCACACAATCCATGCAACCCTCTAACCACCTACTGGCCAGATTCGACCCTTAATGGAAGCTTCTGGAAGGTGCCACAGCCATGGGTCACTGCTGTGCAAACTGGAGAAATGTCTGATAGAGGCATCCCTAGGCCCTCACAGAGAGACAGACTCTCGGTGCTGCAAGCTCCCGACCTGCATTAACCAGCTCTCAGCTTGGGCAGCACAGAGCAAGCTGGGCTCTGCAGAGACTGACCCTACACTGGCTTGTCCCCTAGAGGGAGGTGGATGTGCCTACAGGGTGGTCTGGCCTCTTTAAGACAGGAAAAAAAAATCACACAGAAAACACACACACACACACAAACACACACACACACACACACACACACCCCAGCAACACAAACCAACCAAAATATGCCAGGAATGCAAGCTCTGCCAACCAAATAAATAAATAAAATGTAAGATACTTTATAATAACTGGACATGATACATTTCTCAACCCTGCACAACAACTGAAAAACTCTATTTTTCCACGCATCTGGCAAACAGTCCCCTTCCCCTTAGACTCGATGGCCTTTTGGCTCAGGGGTCAACAAAGACAAGCTGCAGCACCCTGAGAAGCCAGTCCCTGTGCCTGTGGGTCCTGCAGCACTCTGAAAGTCACCTGTGTGCCAGAACGCAGCCCTGTCGGCATGGTCTACAGTCAGACAGGTGAAAATGTCCTGTTTACACTTTTCCTTTTTCAAACAACAGATCAGAGGAGGTACACAACACAGCTACCCTAACCCTTATCAAATGTCCAAGGCCTCCGAAAGCTCTAGGCTTGGCAAAGTCACTTCCAGTTGACCAGTTGTGTAGTTCAACAACATCTGTGAGGTGACTTCCAAAAGTTCATGGAAAACTGAATCACAAGACAAGCTGACTGAGATGCAAAAAACAACTTCACATTGACACCTACACAGAATCTTCCAAAAGCTCCTGGACAATATGTACCTTGGCTTTCAAATGTTGGTTTTTTTTTTTTTAATCAAAAGAAACTTATCTTGGAATTCCATTTTCTTCTCTGACCTTTCTGAAATAATTCTTGGAGTGTTATGAGCCAGGAACTGTTTTATGATTTTATGCGTAATCATAGATTTAATTCTCTTATCAACTTTATGGAGTGGAATAATTATTGCAATCATTTTATAGATGCAGAAGTGGGAGCACACAGAGAGAAAGCAGTATTTCCTAAGTCACACAGCTATGAAGCGGCTCAGATGGGACTCACTCCCAGATGGGCTGGCTCCTGAGTCCCGCTCTGAACCAAGGGCTTCTTCATTCACAGAGCACAGCCAAAGCGAGCAAGGACTGCACAGCCCTGGAGCTCCACCCGCCAAGAGGCAGATGTTAAGTGGTTTTACAGTTAGCTTTTTAAAAATCTGGGTCATTCCCATTTTTACTGGGGAGAGATCCTGTTTGTTGGTTCACCCCCTAAAAGACTGTCCGTGGCTAGAAGTGGAGCAGGCCTGGACTGGGAATTGGGAACTCAATCCAGTTCTACCTGGAAGTGACAGGAGCCCCACTCCTCTAGCCCTCAACTCCCGCCTCCCAGGAGCTGCACGAGCAAAAAGCTGGAGGCAGGAGTCAACACTGCGCACTGAATCCAAACACGCCTTCCTGTGTGTGACACGGAGATCCTCACAGCACAACTGCTCTCATTCTGATGACACAGTCCAGTCACCCCCAGACTGCATCTGGACATCAGACATCCCCCCCAACCAAAAAGATGAAACCGAGGGAGAGGAGAGGGCAAATTAGGAGGCTTGGGCTCAGGCTAGCTGCAGTACCAGCCTCCAGAATACGTAAGATCGAAAAGCTACCCCTCAACCACCACAACCTACTTCACACACAAGGAAAACCTGATCCTAGTACAATCAAAGTTTTTGTCAATTTCGTCCTTAACAGCATTAAATCCTTTGAAGTCTCAGTACAGGGTAAAAGAAAGACAGGAACTTGAGTCAGATCTTAGACACCAAAGCAGGCAAATAGTCTTGCTCTTCCGACTCCTACTAGAACATCCCAACTCCCCAGTAACCCTCCTTGATGCTCATAAACACGAGTGGGGACTTGGAGGAAAATCTGCTTTAATCATTGAAGCAGATAAGATCCCTACACTGGGTGTCTCCATGCATAAGAAACCAGGCAACCCACCCACCCAAGAAATCGTTCTGACAAATATTTAAATCACAGCTGTGGATACAAAGCCACGCTGTGAGAAGTTAAACTTTAAACATATGTCCTATATGGTCTAATGGGCAAAACAAACTCCCAGTGAGCCGATGTCTTGGTCCTTTCAGCAGCAAAAGCCCACAGACCTGGCCACTGTTGCTTCTATCTTTGCACCTGCGACTTGAGGTCTTAGTTGATGTTTCTCTGCCTGGCTTTTCAAAAGTAACTTGCAGTATTACTCAAGGGAACACACAGCAGAGGTTAGCAACAGGCTAGCATGACAGCAGGCAGTTACTGGCTCTCTAGGTGTTTTTTTACACATGCCACTTACCTTCTCTGTGTGTCTTACATCCCACCTGAGTCTTGGCCATCACACCAACATTAAAGCAAATAAATTCCCTGAACATACAGCTAAACCTTAGTCATGATATTCTGTAGTTATTTCCAAGTTTATTTTCCCCCAGAGTGCCTAAATATCAAATTTCATTACAAGGAGTGGTGGAAAACCGGCCAGTCTCTCTCACCGCTTCAGATTCTGTTGTACTTACTGCAGGTGACTTGCAAAACCTACTCAGGGGATTCACAAGAGTATTTTAAGAAAGAAAATCATCGTGCAGGGGTTGACTGGAAGGGACCCTTACTGCCCCCATTTTACAGAAAGTCACCAGCCCAGGAGCTACCTCCATCAGTAAACGGAAATTGCAGCACCATAATACGTTCAATCTTCAATATTAAATGACCAGAAACACGGCTCCAGCTGTTTACTCTGATCTACGACTTGTGCTGCCAGGGGCTCTTTGCACATTCCCAGGAGAAAGCACCCGTGCAGGTCTGTGAAGTGATGCTTCTACATGACATTTCCCAGATGACCCAGCCTGTCTCTTCCCCATAAACACACATAACAACACATATAAACAAGCCATTCTCAAGGCAAGGACCTATGGGCTGAGCTTGCCTCTCTGCTGTAAGCAATCCTTGCACGCCTTCTATATATGGTTTGAATCCTTTGGGACATCCTGAACTTATTCGGGCTCCCCTGAACCCCAGAAGGCAATGGTTACAGGGACATGATTTCTGAAATAGCTACGGATTCTCTGGTGGACCCCAGCATCACCCCAGCATCGCTACTGCCACACCCTCAGCTCCCTGGTAACAAGGAAACAAACTCAAGCTTCCTTAGCCAGCCCTGATGTTGAACGTGGGGGCCCCACACGGACTCCCCCCGCCTGTCTGTATTAACATTTGTGAAAGACCCCAAATGACAAAAACATGAGCTGGGCTTGAGTTGAAAGTCGAGGCAGATGCAGAAAAGGGTTAAAGTAGGCAACCAAGGATGGCAGAAACAGAAAAGAGTTAAAGACAGGGAGCCCCCATCTAACCCGTAATCAGAGGAGCAATTCCCGGTTTTCCAAAATGCAACACCATCTCCCCCGAATTTCTTCTAGACCCCCCTCACCTCCACAACCATGCATCCGCCAAGGAGAGCTGGCAGGTTCCCATCCTAAAAGGATGCTTCTCCCTCCGCCCCCACCCCCCCCCCAACTGCATCTGTTCCAAGAATGCTGTCCGGCTGCACTTCATTAAGCTGCTTAGCACCAAAAATCAAATTTCTTTCCCATCCCTTTCTTCTTCAATTCCTTGCCAACTAAAGCGTTGTACAACACCACGGACCATGGTCACATTTTGGGTGTTGGGATGCTTTGCTTTTCTAATGGTTCTTAGGCACCAGGAGACAAATTTATGGCATCCTAGAAACAGGATGCAAAGTAAGTCACCTGCAGGAACAAGAGCAGATGTCTCCCAAAGTGGGCAGGTAACTTCGGTTTGCCTCTCATCCTCTTGCCCTAAACCCAGGAGGCAGTGGCCAGACAGCAAAGGGACATGTGGCTGGCAAGCGCTAGGGGAGAAACACAATTCGAAAATACGCTTGAAGCCCCATCAGTGAGGCAAGGTCTCTGACCAGGGCTCCGTGTCCATGACGCACAGGGTTAGGGGATGCTGGCAGTGCCCTCTTCTTGGACCTTTCCCTTAACTTTAAGGAATTCAGCCAGTGTGAGAGGGTTCTCATTGTTTGGGGGAAATTTAAAAAAAAAAAAAAGGCAAGAACAGGGACACTGTTAAATCTGTAAGCTTTTGCCCTGTATTCACAAAAACACAGCTGTGAAAATAAATACAACCCCAAACCTCTGGCCACCAACAGTCTTCACCTCTTCCTGGTCACTACCCCTTCCAGCTGCCAGCGGCATCCCAGGCGCCTGCAGAAACGCATGGCCCCAAGGCACCAGCGAATGGGGTCCAGCCCTGAGAAGGGAACCCCTTGCCTCGGGCCGAGGGTCGCAAAGCGAGCCTGGGCAGTGACCACTCACCCGGGGAGGGGAAAAGCTCCAAATCCACTTTTTCCGTCTTGATGATGGTGAGAGTCGGCTTGAGGTCGACGGCCGCCTTCATGGTGCCAGCAGTAGGGGACGGACCGGACTGGAGCAACTTTGCGGTGACTGTTGTTGTTGTTTGCGTTTTTTTTTTTTTTAATGGGGATTCGCAAAACTGAGGGGGTAAGAGGACGCGGGGGGCGGGGGAGAGGGGCGGGGGAGAAAGTCGCCCTTTCCTGCCTACAACCTCAGATTCCCGCAGCCGTGCCCCGCGCCCGGACGGTGCGCGCCCCGGCGCTCGCGAAGTTGGCACTTGGCGGAGAAGTGAGCGCTCGCCTCAGCCGCGCCGCTCGGCGCTCGCTCCTCTCGCTCGGCGCCCTGGCCCGCTCCCCGCCGCCGCAGCTGCAGCTCGCTCCCGGCCCCGGGCCGCGCTCTGCCAGTCCCTCGGCTCCCTGCCGCACTCTCCCCTCCTCTTTAGGGCGTTTCTCGCCGGCGCGCCCGATTCTCCACCGCTGGGTCCGCTCTCCCCGGGCCCGGCGCTCAGCCGCTGGAGGAAAGGAGGGGAGAGAGCAGGGGGCGGGCGCGGCCGGGGCGGGGGCGGGCGGGGGGCCGGGCCGGAGCGCCCGCGGCCAATGGGCGTCCGCGGCCCAAAGCGAAAGGAAGGGCGGGCCGAGCGCGGCGACCCAGGCGGCGGCGCGGGGCCGAGCGGTGGGGCGCGCAGCCGGGCCCCGCGGAGCCCACAGGCGGCCGGGAGGGACGCGCCCAGGCCGGGGGAGCGGGCTGGGCGCGCAGGCCGCCTCGGGAAAGGCCGCCTGATTCTCCACGCATTCTTGAGGACTTGGTCACCCGCTGCCTGCCCGCCTCCCGGGCGCGGCATAGTTTTCCAAGTGCGTGTACATCATTCATTCACAAAGCCTTGACACTCAGGGTGGGAGGCGTGCGGGCCGGCGCGGGACGCTCGTGAGTCAGCCCCTCCTGCACCCCCCGACCTGCAGGACTCGGCGACTATCGGACTCCTATGGCGCGGGGCTCTGAAGGAAGCTCGGGACGGAGGAAGCTGACATGACAGGGGCCGCGCTTTGGGGCAGAAGCGCTGTGCCCTTGTGCTTCATCCCGGGCGGAGCCGGGAGCGGACCCTAAAGGGTGAAAAGGGGAGTCTAGAAAAAGGGAGGGAGATGTGTCCTACAGAACCTTCCAAGGTACCTCCCACGGTGGCTGAGAGAAAGTGGGGCTAATATTTTCTGCCTACTCTGTTCCTCCAGTTAGCAGCACCTTCGACTTCAGCGCTCTCTCTTCCGTAGCAGGCCCTCTCCCATTAAGTAAAACTGACAGCCACACCACCAGCAGCACCAAGAAGTGGCGCCCAGGGTCTGGTTTGGAGTTGTTGGGGGCACCCTTGATAGCCCTGACAGCGCCTTCGGATCACTGGAGTGAGTTGGAGTTAACTCATGATTTGCCACTGTTAACACTGGTTGTCACAAATACTGATGGCTTGTCCCAGCTAACAAGTCCACCGGGAATGTGTAAAAGAATGCTCAACTAGCGCCAGGCATCAGATCCATCTATTTTTGTTTTGTGTTTTAATGTATTTGAAAAGCAGAGAAATGAGAGAGATCCCAAATGTTCACAAGAGCCAGAGCTGGGCCAAGACAAAAGCAGGAGCCAGGAACTCAGTCTCAGTTTCCCACATGAGTAGCAGGAACCCAAACACTGCAGCCATAGCCTGCCGTCTCCCTCCGGGTGTGTACTAGAAGGAAGCTGTGGTCCTGAGCAGAGGTCGGACTTAAAGCCAAGCCCTCCAGCCAATACAGGAGGTGGGCTTCTGAAATTCAATGCCAGATGCCTAGCTCCGAGACCCATCTTTGATTAACAACAAGATTAAACTTGAACCTTCCTCAGAGAAAGCCATTTTTACTGCTATTTCCTGATTTCTACTATGTTGAAACTGGTTGCAACTATTAACTTCTACCTCCTCCAGGACTGTCACACACCAGTTTACTCCAAAGCTAGCTTTGTCTCCTTGCAAATTCCCCCACAGCACATCATCCGAGGACAGAAAACAAATCTCTGGCTCCCGGTCCAAGCTCCAGACTAGCACCCTCCTTCAGCACCCAAAAGAAAATATTTGCACGTGATCATTTTGATTTTGAAAGGCCAGCCTGTGGCAGTCCAGCTGTGTTTCTGAAAGGTATGAGAAAACAACGCTGGCCCACAGATGACCAGAACAGACACTTCTGCTCCTGGGAAAAACTCCGGGAAACAGCTGATGAATGAATTGTGGGTTTACACATGCAAGCAAGCAGCAGAGCCAAGGATCTGGAACGGGGCCTGTCTTACTGTGAATACATCAGTAGAAGCATTGAGCAAACCCTGAGTTGCTTCAGGGAATTGCGTTTTGGAGCTGTTGTTTTAAGAAAGTGCTGGTACTTTTTAATCCACGTGTGCGTCCTTCTCTGTTTTCAAACACAGCTTCCTTACTGTCTCTTACTGAGTCTGTGTCTCAGCCCTCTGCCCCAAGCTAGCCTAAACGTGGCTACTGTTACCCACCCAAGGGGCGGGGGCACGGAAAGAGCCCACCATGACAGAACCGGAAACACTTCCACACTTTCTGATGAGAGAATTCACTTCTTCCATAATGACAATATAAAGAGTCAGTCACTCTCACCCCAACCTAGACCCAAAGCATGGAGCCTCAAAACATTTAGGGTTACGTTACATGAGACGATTGCACAGGCAGCCAGGAAAAGACTTCCAGGAGAGTTATAGCCACATGATGCTAATTATGACTATTTATGTGATCAGAAGTTAAACATCTTGCCTTGGATCTCGTCCAGACTTCCCTTAGGATGAGGAGGACTAACAAGATCAACTTGAAATATCCTTGCATCTTTGCGACATCACAGTAAGCCAATCATTCCTGTGACTGATTAACTGACTTCGATAGATGACATTCTCAATCCTTTTAGAGCACAAGTCAATTATTTTCTAAATATCCTAAACTTTAAATGACGTGTGTATCTTGTCATCACCCACTAAAGCCATGCCTAACCCAGTGGCCAAGACATTACGGATGCTGGGTATGTTGCTGAGTGATGAGCCATCAACCTTCTTATTGTGAACTCTGGGCTCTGCTGCCGGTGCTTCGTGCTTAGCGTGCTCTGGTTTGTGAAGAGGGCCTCGCTCTGCGTGAAGGTCTCGCTCTGCGTGAAGGTCTGCCTTTCAGCCACCGGGTGCCGTAGAACCTCTCTATCCAGCACTGTGTCCACTCAGGTTCCCCATCAGCAGAACAAGGCAGCTAAGCCTGCCATCCCCTTGGCCGAGGTATTTCAGGGCTCTACCTGACAACTTTGAAGGCACTCGGAGGAAAATAAGTCAACCAAACAGAAAACTTCCTTGCTTTTACTTCTAAGGCAGCCATCTGTCCCTCCCAAGACCAGGAAAAAAACAGAGAGGCAACTTAGAACATGTCTTATAGTTACATTGAGCTTCGAGCCAAAGCACCTGAGATTCAGAGCGGCAAGTCCACAAGGCTCAGTGCAGGAGCTAGGGGACAGGAGAGTGGAGCCAAGCCTTACTAAGGTCAAGAAAACAGTCACCTGTGTGCAGACATTCCCTCAAATACATGGAGTCTGTGAAAAACATAAACTCCTTTTTATTTATACTCCCCTCTCAACTCCACCCAGCTGCAATAGAAAGGAAATAACAAACTATCCCTAATTTCTAACGATGATAGGAGGGAGCACCTCCCTTTCCAGAAGTATGCCAAAATGTGATTTGTGAACTTCAACAAAACAAAGATTCTCTGAGTTCTGAGCTAAAATGTGCTTTATTGGAGGTAGGTACAAAAACATTCAGACCACTAACGGCTGATCCAGAACAAGTTTATGACTCACAGATGTTGATTTACTGGTATAAATGTAAGATTTGAAAAAAAAAAAGAGAGAGAGAGAGAGAGAGAGAAAGCCCTCAAATTAACAACCTGCCTGAGCTGCATTTGTGGTCGCTTGTTCTCTGAGAAAGGCAACAGTCCTTGTCCTACACAGAAACAGGCTTCTGAAGCTGAACTCCAGACCAAGAGGTTTCTCTGTGATAAGTTTAGTCATTAAAAAGCACACCAGGGAAGAAAAATGCCCGGGGCTTCAATATCCACCATTATCAAGCAGCAATAAAATGGAAAATCGGAGATAGGAAGGAAAATTAAAATAACTCCCTTAATTAAACTCGGATGCCAGAAGGCCTTCGGGTGAGTTCAGGAACCCCCAGTAGGGACTCGGAAAGTGTTGCTGCTCAGTGCAGGCTGGCTCTGTGACCTCACCAAAGCCACTTAACCTTTGTGTGTCACAACCCCCTCTGTTTCAGGGAACAAAATCACCCCTGGCTCTGGCTACCATGTCATACAGGCTCATTAGCTATTGTCTGGAAGGTACAATAAACAATGAGCGATAAGAGGCGCTACAGATAGGCGGGAAAGGAGGTGGGGGCAGGGCAGGGAGAGGGGAGCACAGAGACCTATTTGCCCGGGGAAAGCTCTTGAAAGTAAAACAAAAATGAGAGTAGTGTGGGCTCAGGAATAAAACCCAGGTTCCCATTCGGGTGCTGCCTACAGATTGTTGTCCATGAAATGAGGAGAGGAACAGTATGTATCTTTCAAGATTGTTTGGAGGATGAAATGAGATAATGCATACAAAACTTGAAGCACATTGCCTGATAAGAAAAGGTTAATCGATGATTATCAATCCCTTATTACTGTTCCTGCGATTCAGTGTAAAGCACAACATGTTTGAAATTTATGGCCATTGCTTGGCAGAAGAGATCGGATCCTCCACGTAACTGGACTGTCATCTTGGAAGACCCTGTGTCAGTTCTCAAACGGGAGCCTGCCCTACTTGCAGCTGGACGTGAAAAATCCCAGCCCTATCTAACTGGAGAAGGAAAACTTACATTGTTGTTGGGTGTTTGAAGGGTCCACAGAAAGGCTAAAGTTCAACTGCTGAAAGATCATGCTTGAGGTGCTTCATCCCGGACAAATACATCCATAGACCTTGGGATTGTCACAGGGTTGAGCTCAAAGGGAGCTGATGCAAGAGCTCCACATACACACTGAGCAGGAGTGTGAGCTCAGGGCCTAGGATCACACAACCTCAGTGTCAGAGTAGACCCAGCAGCCCCGATTGTACAGCTTGCCACAGCATCTGCAAGGAACTTACAGGACCTGTTCTGGCAGCAAAAAGACACTACCCATACCAGACAGCCATGAGACCTAAAGCGGGATCCAGTGTAGCTAGGAACAGAGAGATAGACTGGATTTCTAGAAATCCAACAATACTGTCTGCACTGGATGTGTTGTCTTTGGACAAGTAGCCTGCTGGGTAACCACATTATCCTTCCTTGTGGGAAACAGCTTGGCATGGGCGGTGAGGAGGAGAAGGGTCTGGGCTGGCTCTATTGCTGTCTGAAGCTTCTTTAGACTATAATTAGGAACCATTCAACTGCATCTGCAGCCCCAACAATGTGGGACGGATTGGCCTAATCCACAGACCAAG